TCTTGTCTCGTTTTCTTTTTTCTTGTTTTTTTCTTTTTTTCTTGATTTCTCTTGTCTTGAGTTTCTCTTCTCTTCTCTTCTCTTCACCTGTGGCTATTTTTGAATGATTTTTTCTTGTCTTGTCTCGTTTTCTTTTTTCTTGCTTTTTCTTGTTTTCTCTTGTGGTCTTGAATTTTTCTTGTTTTCTCTCGCTTTTCTCTTCTCTTCTCTTCTCTTCTCTTCTCTCCCCTCCTCTCCTCTCTTCTCCTCTCCTCTCCTTTCCTCATGATATCCTTCCAGCTACGCAAATAACCAATTCATAAGCCAATACTGAACGGTTCCATACAAAGCTTTTTCTAAGAGTCAAATCACAGCTATACGCCGTCTTTTTGTACTAAAAGGAAATGAAAATCTRAAGTCAAATACCAAAATAATTCTTAGTTGTTGGTTTTGTGGACATTTATTCGTAAGAAATACGCATTTAAGTTGTTTTTATTTTCATTTTTACAATCTTAGCCCAAGTCCAAATAGGAGACACGGAAGAGAATCTGTTCCTTTCAAAACGGAACTCAAACTGAGAGAGAATAATAGAACAATATTTCATTCAGAAAAAGCTATTTTCATTTTCGTGAGCTAGCTATAATTGCCAATCCGGGATCAAAACTAACATTCTCTTCTGTTGGGTATTGAAAATAATCTTTTTCCGATCTGTATTTTTTTCATATCGTTTTGGCTCTCCTTCGCTGGATTTAGTACGAGTTATTTAGTTATTGGCAGTCATTTTTAACATTAGCGAGTTGCCTACTAAAAAGGACAATAAAAAAATCTTATTTTCATATTTCAAATTTTAATTAATTTGATCTACTGTTCGTAAATAGATGTATGGCACCTGTTTGAGAAACTTGCATTATATTAGGTAGGATCTTTGAATTTCTTTTCGATTTGTTTCGGTGTGGCATTTTTCTGTATCTGAATCTGTTTGTTGCACTCCTCTCTCCGTTGAATTCTCAAAACTCACAAACTATTCCACAAGGTAAGAATGAATGCTCTGAATGAGAGAATGTTTTCAGTTATTTCAAAACGGTACTTCCAACACGTTAAGAAACACTTTTTTGCATGAAAGCCGTTTAAATAATCAATTCATTCAACCTATATATATATATATATATATATATATACATGAATATATACATCTAAACTTACTCAAGCTTTGAAATTATCAATCTACAATCTACATGTATGACTTAAAAACTACTCGATAACTCATCTTTTAAAATTGAAATAAATAAATAATAAATATGGGATTAATAGTGGATTCCACAAAGTGGCTCTTCTTCCACTTCTTCTCAAATTGGAATTTAGAATTTGATATTTAAGGAGGGAGAAAGACCGAGGACCCTGAAGACCCTTGAAGCATAGGAAGAAAACGAGTAACTCTACTCACATACGACACCGAGCTCAGCGGGACTCGAACCCGGGTCGCATTGATGAGAGGTGAGCACTCTCACCGCCTACGCCACGCTATGTGCCTCTGAAGCCCCGTTTACACTAGCGATTTTTGCTGCGATTTTTTTTGTTTTTTTGTGCTATTTTGTCCATAAAAAAATATGGTAAAGAATTTACTTGTAAAGTTTTTTTCAGGATACCAAGATTTTCCTAGACGAATGTCTATTTTGAAGGATGAGACAAAATATTTCATATTTCCGAAAATTGCCACAAATATCGCCGCAAAAGTCGCCAGTGTAAACGGGGCTTGAGAGTTGAGAGAGATCCTCTTAATTTGATGAATGACGATACCACACTATCTAATCTGATCACCACTACATTCTTTACTTTTCTAGAACCTTTCATATCAAGAACTGATATCGTTATTTTTTTACGACGGAAAATTTCAAATTAATATGGCAATTTTTTATTAATTTTCCCACCACAACCGGAAACAATTTTCTCAGTCATGATTGAAAATCCAATGATTACGATAATTCATAAAGTAAAGAAAAGCAGTAATTTCGGTAGTGCAAAGTAACACGCACAAGTTCAATCTATAAAGATAATTTTAGGTTCAAAGATAGATCGTTTTTTAATCTCAAGTTCCTGGTGATTTATATTCGCAAGACAAATAACTTCTGTATAGTCCGCTATTCCAAGAGAAAAATATTTTTTCTATTACGCTTGTCTGTTCAGGTTGGATTCGTTTGCCGAATGCAACGTCTTTTAAGTACAAACTTCCATAAAGTGATAAGTTTAATATTGTATTCTTGATGAGATAGATACAAAACGCTCCACAATCAACACTATAAATATCTTTCTGTTGTGTAAATCTTATATTTGTAAGGCAAGAAGCCTAAAAGCCGTTTATCGTATTCATTTTTGCAAATAATAACCCTTAATTTTGTGCTGCAATAATATTTTTGCCGTTTGTGTCAAGTTTACACGCTACACACGTATACCACATTGTATAACGACTTGTTTTTTGCCACAGCAAAGAATAAACTTAGAACGGTTTAAATTTGCCAAGGCAGTTGATAAAAACGTAGACCGGTGATAAAATCTCAGAAAATAGGAGAGATCTAACAAGTAACGTCTACTCTGTGATAGCCGGGGTCCTATTATCGAGCTTGGAGCACGACCAAAGCGGCGCGACGCGCAACAACGCAGTTCACAAAACAATCTCCGTTTGCAGAATAGTCTAATCAGCTTTGTTCGTAAGACAAATAAACTTGAATTTAACTGCATAAATGAGATACTACAAATAGACCTCTTCGCCTTGGGGGTAAAAACGCTAGAGATATTGATGTTTCATTATATTACTAGGGATTATCTGATGAAAAGTGCTCGTAATGTAACAGCCGTAAAGGAAGGAATATAGCCGGCTCGATATTTAAATTTGAAGATCTTGAATAGATCTCCTTACCTTGGGGTTATGTTTCCCCGTTTCAAACCACGTGTGATTCGGCTCTTGAGAATGAGAATCATATTCATTTGTCTTCTCATGCACAACTATTAAACAAARAAATGATACTCAAGGGAATGACAGGTGGTCTGAAATAGGAAAACATTAAGCTCAAAGTAAAGAGGTTAATGATGATGATGATGATGCAGTGATGATGATGATGATGATGATGATGATGATGATGATGATGATGATGGTAAGATATAGGCAATGTAGTCCCTAAGGGCTTTCAAGGGTACGGTTTGTATAGGAAATCGCACGATCTCGACTGAGTACAATTCGGAATTTATAGGTACGAGTTAAGTTTTCAAAATTGGACAAGCCTTTATAGGCGAGTTCAATTTGAGAACCTTCAAAACATCACGAGTATCTATTAATTCAGAGTGTACGAGAAGATTGTGCGATTTTTTGTTCATAATACACTCAAAACAAATTGAGCAAAAATTGGAACTCTACAAAGTACAATGAGGGATTTCATTGTACTCCTCTTGATCAATCAGAATCGAATAATTTTGTAGAGTGTATTATAAATGCCATGAACAAGGACTAAGCTTTACACGTCACTCATGTAATGCAGTTATTCAAATTTTGTTTTTACAATTTATCGTATTTAATTTTGTGTTATTTTATATAACAATAATAACAATACAGAAATACAGAAGATAATAATAATGATAATGGATACTTTATTAAAGCATTTTTAAGTAGACCTAAAAGCGAGGTTCATTATGTTCCTGATAACATATTTCAGATGCTTATCAGCAAAACCAAGATGTTTCAAAATAGTAAAACGACAACAACAACAACAACAACAACAACAACAACAGATAAATTTGTAAACTTTACTAAAAAGGTTTTCGCTGTATGCTAAATATTTCATCGTATTTCTCTTTTTCACTTATTTGACTCAAAACCCACTGTTAATTTGAGCACATAGAGACAATTATCTGAAGTCGAGATTAAGAGATCTGGACGATATTATAATGATAATAATGATGATGATGATGATGATGATGATGATGATGATAACAAAAAAATATAAAACACAAACACAGACAAACAAACGGAGAACGATTGGGGGGTCATAGTTGGAGCAAACTAAGGAAAAAGCTTGAAAAGCCGACTCTGATTTAAATCCGAAACAAAACTGTGTAGACCAAAATAATATAAAATTTCACACTTTATATCCAGAAAGATAAGATAGATATGAGGTATCTATCAAGCGTACGACGAAAGCTGTGTCTTTTCTCTTCTCTCCCATGAGTGGACGGTGTTGAAAAGAACGTGCTTCCGTCACTATTACATCTTCCAATTTCGTGTTGTTTGTCAACCCGCTGTACACTGTAATTAGGGCTGCTATTGTTTTACATATAAATTAACTTATTTTCAAGACCGGAAAAATTAGCAGAGAAGGCCAATTAATGTTATATTACAGTAGATGTAGTTGTTCAATGCTTGCAACTCATTGCAGAGTGCCTGATGTTTTGTGAAGATGAGAAAGTTCGCTGCATTTGTCTTTATGTTTTCAACGGTAAGTCTAAAGCCAAAATTCTTATGTGATTTACTTATTTACTAAAGCCATAATCTGTGAAGTTCTATAGCTATATACCTAGATTAAGTTTGATAACTTAAACGACAGAAAAAGTACCTGGACTCAACTGATTGCAAAAAGAGCGAGTTTGAATGAGAAGGCCGTATCGAAAGGTTCGGCATAAAAAGGATCTATTTTTGAAATTAAAGTTGGTTTTGATTTCATTTATATTTCAAGTCATAACTAAAAGTCAAAGATTTTAACTTAATTTTTCAATTTCTTGGCTCATGCTGTTTTTTCTTCTTTTGTTTGTTTGTTTTATTTTTCTTGTTCTTTTTATTCTGCCGAGGAATACTTCCTTCATTTTCGTGTTGCAGATGCTAGCCAAGRAAYTATAATTTGGATAAGCTTCTAACGTTTTTCGGCTCACGTATCTATACTTAACGAGCACACGATAACAAATGATAAGTATAGATACGAGCCGAAAAACGTTAGAAGCTTATCCAAATTATAGTTTCTTGGCTAGCATCTGCTTCAACACGAAAATGATGGAATATTTCTCCAGAATAAAAAGAATAAGAAAAATAAAACAAACAAACAAAAGAAGAAAAAACAGCATGCATGAGCCAAGAAAATTGAAAAATTAAGTCAATGCATGGCTAACTCACATATCGAACCCTGATACAACCTCTGGGCGGATCTAAGTCAGGGCATGGCTAACTCACATATCGAACCCTGAAACAACCTCTGGGCGGATCTAAGTCAGGGCATGGCTAAATCACATATCGAACCCTGATACAACCTCTGGGCGGATCTACGTCAGGGCACCGTTAACTCACAGATGAAACCCTGAAACAACTTCTGGGCGGATCTAAATCAGGGCATGCCTAACTCACAGATTGAACCCTGAAACAACCTCTGGGCGGATCTAAGTCAGGGCATGGCTAACTC